TCCCCTGCAGAGGAAGGCAGGACGCGGTCCAGCGGAGCAAAGCTCAGGGAGCCAAGGTTCCATTTGGATGCCAGGAAGCACTTCCTGACAGTCAGGACCCCAAGGGTGTGGAATGGGCTTCCACGAGGTTGTTGAGGCTCCATCAGTGCGGGTGTTCAAGGAGAGGCTGGACATGCACATGGTGGGCATGTCGTGAGCGGAGCCGGCTGGAGCCAGAGGTCAGACTAGATGGCCCGGGAGACCCTTCTGACTCACTCTGTTTCTATGTTTCTATGTTGCATGCAAACTCATGAGCAACTATCCTGCTTGTTGTTTGATGGCTCTGCTAGTTATTTCCCAATAAGCAGATAGTTTGGTGTTACATGCTGGAGACAGATGCAATCATGCTATCACTTTGAGTATTGAGTCAGCAAGAGAGGTTGAAACACATTTTCAGGGAAGGCTCAGAAAGTTCATTCTGCCTTGTGCCCCTTTCTCCCACTTTCTTGCATATTTGCTTTAAAGAGATAAACGTTCTCAGTAAGCGTTGAAATAGATACTGATATTGTGCACCAATAAGACTCACATTAAAGGCTACATACAAACACACACTGAGATATCAGAGGAGAAGGAGACTTTGAATGGGGAACTGGGATGAATGATGATAAAGAACAATGCACTGAAAAGCAAAGCAGGCAGGATGAATCTGCTTACTTTCACTGCCAAAGGCATAGGAGGTGACAGAGGACTTCCAAGAAGTAGCTTCTTCTCCGCTGCTGGTTACTTGAAGGAAAGGCCCTTTTCACATGTTAACTGAATCATAAACTGGGAATTAAAATAAGACTGCCTTGAAAGTTAACTTTATCAAAATCAATAGGATGTGCTTCCCAGAAAACATGCGTAGAAGTAAACAATTGATGTGAAATATACCATTATTTCTCATTCAGAAATATAATGCATTGGGTAATACTTTTAACATACTTTATCTATTTTACAGGAAAAACATGGGTAGAATCCATTGACTAACTGGCAATTTTCTGTATGAGTCCTCATAATATCAAATTATATTTAACCCTTTTTTAATAATCTGAGAAATCTGTCTTTATGCATATGCAAGAAGTTGCTGTATATGCAAGAACATCATAGTATATTACATAAAAATCAGGCATTTTAACTTTTTCTTTAGCTAACTGAAGTTGTTACAGCTACATGTACCAACAATGTTAAAACATGTTAAAAGTATTAACAAAGTTTCCACCTTCTAACTATTGTCCTATGAGCTGCTATTAGCCTAAACTCAATTAGTTCCTTAGATGTTACTGCTGCATTTGTTCTTCCCATATAGTTAATTATACTTAATATTATTTCTCCACCAGAATGTATCACTCTTTGTCCCACTGAAATTAACTTAAACAATTTCTGTGACTGCCATTATTTTTTTTCTGGTGCTCCTGGTAGTAAGAGATTTAATTCTCTTCCTTCTGCTAAGCCCAAAATACAACCAAGCCTGATAAAGATTATTGAACTATCTCTAAGATGTTAAAGTAATCTGAAATCTTTGACAGCTGATTATAAGCACAATAAAAAATGAGAACATTCCTAAATAAATAACTCTAATAGGTCCTGAAGGGATCATTGTGGAGGAAATGAATGATGCAAGCAATTAACTGGTGATAACGCTAATCACTAATGAAAGTTAGGTTAAAGTTATCAAACTACCATTGCTAATACTGGGTTTCTGGAAATGGATGAGGGCTTACAGTCATAAAGAACTTTTCCTCTGATGACAACCCTTTCTCTGGCCATAATTACTTGGCTATAGCATGGGAAACAGCAGAATCAACTTGTTTCAGAGGGGAAAGATGCTAAGTGCTGAGCAAGCTTTTGAAAAGTTTGTTAAACATAAGAAACGTCCATGAAGTTTGTCCAAACAGACTGAGTTTTATGGCCTCAATTTTGTTTGCTCCACAGTCAAACAGATGGGGGCTTCAAAGTAAACACACACATGACAGAGCTGTTAGCATAGTAAAATGGAACTTACTAATAAGTTGTATGTGTGTGTGTGGGACTTAACAACGTTTAAGGTAAAATCCAATGCTTATTTGAACAGTGCTTCTAGCATTCTGGAAGATATAAAACTTATTTTCTGTCTAAAAAATGCGTAGGCTTGTGTTGTTAATACTGTTGCAGCTTGAGTAGCAGGCAAATCTCAAGTATTTGCAGGGGCAGCGTATCTATTGGTCTGTTACTGAAGTGTCAGACCAAAATACGATATGATGCACCATGTCTTCTTCTGACAATTTGGTATTCCTAGAGATTGATATAAGCATTTTTCCTGCAACCATAGCAAACCTAATGGTATATCCACACTGACTGTTTTCCCCTGACATGTACCAGGAATTCTGCTGCAGTTTATGGCATGTTTGGGTAGTAATCAAGGGCTTTGCTAGAACTGGGCCCAAATCTTTCTCTGAGGGCCTTAGTTCTATTCCACAGAATCCCAATTGTCTACTGGTGCCAGTGGAAAGTGGGAAGCTTTTTTTCCCTCCCAGTTTCCATGCGGTAGGAAATGTGCAAGGGGGATTGCAGCTGAGTAGGGAAGTGTTAACTCTTCCCTTCCCATAAGTGGCAACAGGCACCCACCCCCATTCCCTTATAGGGCCTTGAAGCTTAGGGAGTGAAGACTTTCTTCAGTTGACTTAACTAAAGATGTAGATTAACTGAAGGATTTGTTTTGAGATCTAAATTAGCATATGCAGATTTTGTGCAGATATGTGCCCTATGTGGCTTGGCTTCAAAACTTTTAAATGCCCAGCAGCACAATTAGTGCAAGTGATTAGGGCTTTCCACTCATGTATGTCATGCACAATGCATACTGTTTTCTTCACACTGTATACCAAATTGTTCTTCCACATATATGCAAACCAAACCAATAATATTAACATGTCTTTGTGAATTCTCCAACCCATAAAAGTCATGAGATCATTTCACCATCAGAGAGACTTCATATGAACTTGATCTTGTAGCACAATCAAGAAATCTGGTGAGTCAATATTGGCATGAATGTCTTCTGATGTAACCTTAGGAAAACAGGTGTGGGAAAGATGAATGCCACAACATGAATGGGAGCACCACTGAACTGTATCCAAAAGTGCAGAGGTGGAAAGTAGTGAAGTCATTCAGTGCCGGGCACCATTTCCCAAAGGAATGCGTTTGCAAAATCTTCCATTGGAAGTGTCTCTTAATTAGCATCTGAATACTTTTCTCCTTCCTGCTCATGATGGAACTTATGAACAATTGCCAACAATTGAAATGTTACTTGCATTTCAAGAAAAGCTCTCATTGGCATCAGGGGAGAGTTCCCCTGAAATAAATAGCAATATAGAAGCAGATTTGTTAAGCCAGCAACAGGGAAGGAAAAGTCAAACTCCCACTCTTCACCTAGCATCCTCGCAGTGCCCGAGGCTGCTCAAGTTTCCCCACTGCAGTTATAACAAAAATGTGCATGTTAATTCTAGATATGCGATTAAAGACATATCTCATTTGCCCTTAAGGGTAACACAGTGATCAGCCCGGCTTTTGCTTTCTGAGTTTAGATCAGGGTGAAAAGGAGTCCTTTCTTTTGCTTTCTCAGTTGTCTGAGTCATTGAGAGCTCTTTACCTTTGAATTCTGCATTGTAGTTTGTGGAACACTGCAAACTGGATTTTGAGGTTGATTTATAGTTAGTACAATGAAGTCTAAGTGCACGCAAGGTGCTTCAGACTTTGCTTCCTGCTCTTAGCATACAATCCAGTGTCCTTTGCCTTTGATGCATGTAAACCTTCCAACAGGAGACTTACGTGCATTCAGTGTAGGGCGCCAGCATGCATGGCAGTGGTGATATCCACCCTCCCTTACCTCGTAACCTGTACTTCATCTAGACAGCTGTTTTTGGTGGTCTAGATGGAGTGGTGCAGAGGCTGTAGGCCATCGGCCATCAGTCTCAGCCTCTTCTCCGGCACACCCATTTAGCCCTCTCCAATGCCAGTTTCTTGGGGACTCAGCTGACATGGTTCTTTCCATGCCCACAGTGAGGGGAGCAGAGTGGCAGCTTTGCAATTAATTGGACTCTCGGCCCTGAGGTTACAAGATCTTGGAATTGGGACTCCAAATGATTCTATGGCTCCCCAAACAATGTTGGGAGGCCATAGGATTAACCCTTAATGAGTCTAGTGTCCAACACTTTTACAGCATAATCTTACACATGTTTCCTTATAAGTATGTCCTACTAAATTTAATGGGACTTCTTTCCAAGTAAGTGAGAACTGGTTTCAGCCTTAATGCTGTAACATTAAAAGCAATACCTAATATTGTAAAAAAGGAAAGAGGAATAGCATACCCAAATCTCTCTTTTTCTGCCTTTGCTGACTGGAGATTATCAGGACTTTCCTGGGGTAGAGATTCATCTAAGACAGGAGCCAGAAATTTGTGTCTATGCTTGGAGACTTCCTAATAATGGAAATACATGTCTGGTATAAACATTACTAAGTATCTTCCACTACAAAACGAGTTTCACTGTGTTGCTCTGGGGTGGGGTGGGGTGGGGTGGGGTCAAGATCATGATCCATATCCCAGGACACTAATTGACCCTCCCAAGAAAAATGGTTGTAGGCAAGTTTGAGTTTCATACTGGAAACAGTAACAAAGTAATTTGTTTGAAAGGCCGAGCCATATTCAAGATGATTTGAAACTGCGTGGGCATCTTAGATAAAGCGAGTTTATACTAATTATCTTAGCAGGCTTGTCAATTTTTTTATATGACGTTTGCCATGACGATGCTGCAGCCCACTAGAAAGCAAATCGTGTTAGATCGTAATCCGCGCAACGCGCCCTCTGGCGACCAGGGGGCCGGGAGGAGATGCCTGCTCCTGGATTTGAAACAAGCGAAGATTTAAAGTGGGAGGTTCGCACAGAGGCGGGGCTTGGTACGTGCTGCAGCCGCCTTCCTATTGAGTCAGAGGCGCGTTGCGAGCTGCCTGAAAGCGACTGTAACAAACAGAAGCCCGAAGAGCGAGCTAGGCGGGCGTTCTGATTAGCGCGCTGGGACAAAGTAAAAGAATCTTGGGAGGCTGAACGTTCCAAAGTCGTTACATTCCAGGGACGGAGCAGCAGCAACAGGCAGCAGCCCGAGGGGCGCTTTCTCACGGAGGCGGTGGATCTTCCAGCCCTTGTTGAGCGAGGGCGAAGAGGAGGCGAAGGACGGGGGGGTTTAAACTGGGGACCGAGAAAATGAATCGGAGTTTTAACAAATCTCAGAGTCTGCGGTATTGTGCTTATAGCGCGGTGGAAGTAAAAAGTAAGGTAAGAAAGGAATCGCCGTTTACAATCTGAATTAACCATTCTCTCCTCCCTCGGCCCCCTTTCTCTCTCCGGTACGTCCCCCTCCCACCCTCAATACCTTTTACAAATGAATGAACGGCTTCTTTTCCTTCGTGATGCTTTGTTTTTAAAAACGACCTTTCTCTGTTGGCAGTTCAGAGAAAAGAAACTCCTCCTGCCAGTAACTTTTAAAATCCCATCTGTGCTTTCGTTTTATGAGAGAGCGGCAGCAAGTACTGTGAATCTCGCTTTCCCCCCCTTCTCCTCCCAACATCGCTTTAACTCTGCGCTGTCTTCCCCTCTCCCGCGTCCCCCATGGGGCAGAGTGCCCCGTAATCTCTGGAGCATTTACATGAGGGGTGAGCCTGAGGCTGCGCGTTTCGCTCGGCTTTTCTTCTCGTGTATCGGTTTTGGAAGCTTGAATATCGACTCTCTGGCTTCGGCTGCCTGCTAAGAACAGACAACGGTGGCGGCACTTCTCTTGCTGGTGGGCTGTTCGTAACAAAAGGGAACGCGCAAGCTTGGATTCCAAAGTGTGTGTGTGTGTGTGTTGGAGGGGGGCGTATTAGGCTCGCTCAGATCCGGATTAGTGAATCTTCAAGGGGCCACGAGAAGGGCGAGTTGGAGAAGATGCTGTTGCAGCCGCCGATGAAACACAGCCCACCCCCAGCCTCAAAATCGAGTTAAACTTGATCACCACTTGCGTGGGAGTGACTCCAGAAGAAGCGAAGCGCACGGCAGCCTTTTGTTAAAACCTTTCATTGTTTCTTGTAACTTATGAAGGCCTGTTTTTTTTCGCGGGGGAGCATTTCTGTAAAAGGAGGAGGACTATTGGAGCCCGGGGGGGGGGGGGGTTACATTTTTTTTTTTCCTGTCCCTTTTTTTCCCCCCCACCCCCCCCCCCCATCAGCTCGCGACATGCTTTTATAAACGCAATCCAGCCAGCAATTAAATCCTGTATTGGCCCCCTGGATGATTAAGGAACCCGTCTCTTGGCACTGTTATCGCTGCCTTGCCCGTATTCAGTTCTGCGAACTTGCTCACGCATCGTGTTTAAACTTGTTTGAAGAGTTGCTCCTCTCACAGTCTTTGTATTTTTTCCTACAGCCGCCTGATTATCTAATGCAATTCTCTTCCTTCTCCTTTGTTGGAAGGGTGCGGGGGGGTGCTCTGTTGGGGAGTCTGGCTAAAAAGAAAACCATTTCTCCCAAGCTTGCCTTTCCCCTGGAAAGAGGGGAGGCTGGCTTCAGCCTGGCTTGCTCTGTTTACCCATGCATGCTCTCTCCCTCATGGCTTTTTGAAGAGCCCTCCACGGAATACTGAACTTGAGCAGAGTTTTGCCCTCCTTTCCCTACAATAAAACCTGACATCGACAGAATGTGAACATGCGTGTGTAATGAGGCAAAATCTGTATACATCTGAAGGATATGTTGGAACCAAGTCCCATATTTCTAAGTGGGTTTCCTGTTTTCAAGAAAAACAGCAGCCAAGGGGTGGGATCCTAATATAAGAAGAGTCCAGTCGAGCCAGTCCAATAGTGAACTTGTCGTTCTCCAGATGGGGATGGAGTTCAACAACACCTAAAGGATCACAGAGTCTCCATCCTGGTCTAAACCAAAACCTGGGGGTGATGGTCCTCAGATGCTTTTCAGAAGCCAACAAGCAGGGCATGAAAGTGATACATTTTAAAATTTAATGGCCATAATCACATCCTGTGGCAGTGAATTCCACAAGTTAACCATTAATTGTGTGAAGTGGTTATATCCTGTAGTCATTTTTGAATGTCCTGCCAAACTGAGGATGGGACCTGCATCTGTGCTTCTCATACTATTCATAAAGTTATATGCCTCTTATCTTGGGAAAGTACTTAAACCTTTTTACATAAAAGGATACGTTCTCCTGGCTGTGAATGAACTTAAGTGAGTCACCATGCTTACCATGGTATTATAGTACCACACATGAGCGGAGAACTTTTCACCAGAGGGATGACAGGAACGTTTGAATACATGTTTGCTAAAAACTTTTGTGTTGCTTTTATTGTGTGTGGCACCATGAGAAAGTCCCATACTTAAAGGTGGCCTAGAAATAGCTTTGGTAGATAATTCAAGAAGAAAACCAGCTATCCCGGATGTGGTATGAGATTAGACCTGGGCCCTGCTTGATGCAGATCCCTTGAACTGTGGCACTATAGTTAACATCTTTGTGAAGACGCTGTGGTCCAGCAGACTCTGTGGATGTTCTCCTCCTGTTTTTTGTTTTGTTTTCTGAATCATGCTGGCTTTGCCTTCTCTGCATTGCCAGTGCACCTGACTTTCCTACCAACGTTCATTATTCTTTTGACCCTCCTTGGCTTCTGCTTTCAATTTTGTCTCACTTTTGTAAGATCTCGAGTAAGTCTAAATTGTTGGGCAGGGACTACAGCTTCTCATGTGAAACCACACGAATGGACTTCCTATGGAAAAGACTTGCTGAGACAAGAGGAATTTGGATTTTTGTTTATCTTTTGCTATTAACTGAGCAAATCTTTTATTGCTTGTCTTTGCCCATTCAGTCTGGCCATTTCAAAAAGCTGCACATTAATACATGATTGTGTCAACATGGCTTACTGCAAATGATTTGCATTATACAACTCTCAGAAGCCCTGGCCATTGGTTATGTTGACCGGGGCTGATAGGAATTGTAATTCAAAACCTTCTTGAAGGCTACTGTAAAGCAATGCATTACAGTAGCATTTTTTGCTCTCTATTAGGGCTTAGCTGCTTTGCTTTTTTTGAACATCCTGGTTTTCTTTTTTAGTTTAGGTAAGGGATGGCATATATTTCCTTCATAGTCAGATAAATCTTGTATTTATTAAATTGACAATGTTGAAACGGGCATCCTGGGAGTTGTAAGGCCTTTTCTGTCTAAACATGCATAGAATTGTGCCATTAAACTCTACAGGTTTGGTACTTCTTGAAAACTCTCACCTTGATGTAGTGGCAGTGCAAGTTTTGATAACAGGCAGCACAAAGGCATGCTGTCAGAAGCATGCGCTGCTCTTGGCATCCTTTGAATGAACGGTTTGGAAACAATGTATCGGTTGTTATGTATAAATATTAACACTTAATTCACCCTTGATCCCAATCGGCCTGACCAGTGTCATAGAGACAGTCAGATATAATTTGTTAATATAGCTGTGCAGCACTTTGGCCCGCTTGTGGCACTCTGCCTGTCGAATTGTAGGTAGGGATCCTGCTCAGTGATCATATTGTCTAGAATCTTAAAATTTAACAGTCGCTGTAACATTGGCAGGCCATTTGTGTTAGCTGTGTCGGCTACTTGAGTAAACAAACACTCTTGAAAAGCAGGAGTTAGCAATCATTGTAACTACTGTGATTTGTGGGATTTACATTACTAATAGTAAGAAAGCAACCCTGTAGCACAATCAATTGCTACTAATGTTCTTTTACTGCTGACAGTGATTCTTAACATTCAGTTACCCCCAAAGAGTTTAGCAAGGATTGTAATTGCAAGACTGTGTGCCTTGGTGAGCTAATACTCATCTATTAAAAATGACTCCAGAACTAATGAAAAGAGAATGTTCATGTTGCTTTTCTCTTTGCCATAATTGCTGTGAAGTTGTGACACCAGCTCTGTGTGATTTACCTGGGAGGCAGGGCAGAGGTTGTTTAGACAGCTAACGAAAAACTGTTTTGACCAAAAGTAACATACTTCTGGGTGATTAACTCCACTTAACTACATTCCCAGTAAATCGATCCTGATTATGATCATTAGCATGTCAGGTTCTCATTCCTTTCTTCGGGCAGAGGCAATGTTGCTTCCTGGTGTACTAAAAAAAATTTAAGTTTAATGCCCTGTCTGTAGAAAAAGGCTGCAGTAAACAAAGTAGCTGAAATGTTAAAGGCATTTGGATTTGAGACTACCTCTTAATCCATGGGTCATAAACTCTATGGAGATGCCCACTTTATTCCAGCACCATTTAGAGAGACAATTTGTGTTTATATGTAGTGCAGTGAACTGGCCCCATTTGGGCTAAAGGCCCAACTATATCAGATCAGGTTATATCTAAATATTGGCAGATGGTAAGGCCACCCTAATAGTTCACATGCTTCTGAAGCAACCACATGTCTTCCAAGTGTTTTAGAATTAAACTCCCATGAGCCCTGGTGAGCATGGCCAATGGTCAAAAATTCTGGGCATTGTAGTCCCATGCATAATCAACCCATTATTTACTGTTACCTGTGGCTGGCCTGTTGCCATTAAGGTACAGATGCTTTTAATATAAAAGTTTCCTTTGATGAATGCAGTAGTATTTGGCAACTTAACATAGTGCCTACATTTAAACATACCTCAAGGTGTATATGGTGGGCATTCAGCAGAGATCCAGAGCATTATGCTGCAGGAGATCACAATCTCAAGAATTCTCAGTATACTAAGTTTTTGTTACTAGCTTTGTCCATGTGATGAAGATTGTATTTTGTGGCTAACGAAGCTCGAATTGTGGATTAGTTTACCTTTCCTCCAAGGAGGCTGTTTTATTTAATAGAGGGTGAGCTGGCATTTTTATAAGTGATGAGAACAAGGCAGTATAAACTCTCAAGGTCTCACTTGGGGGTTATCAAGATAATAGCCATCTTCTGTGCACACTTGCCCGGGAATATGCCTGATTACTCAGAAGGAGCTTTGTGTGTTTAACATGCTGGGCTGTTCAATTATCAAAACAAAACAAAAAAGTGCAGTATGGCAGTTTTGTAAAGGAAAAATATGACTGGTTTGATAGGATACCTTTTAAATTCAAATTTATAACAGGAATAGTGATAGGATCAGAGAACCAAAACAGACATGGATTTAAATCTGCATTTTTTTTTATTCATTTAGTTTTGTGTGAAGGTATTCAGATCTGGATCTTAGTCTGAGGACGGGAGCAGGTAAGAACCAGATTAGGCTGCCTGCAACTACTTGTAGTATAAAAATGAAGGAGA